CTTGGGCCCTGCAAATCTGTAGATATTTGCTTTATATCCTCAATTTTTTGCTGCTTCTTAGAGTGATGTCCCCGTGGGTGCTCCACTGTTTGTGTCGGGTCATCCCAGTGCCGCAGATCAGTTGTCCCTAGCAGTAGCAGTCTGGACCATGCATGCGAATCAGATGCCTTGTGCCATTCACGCCTTTCTCTTCACGTGCGCAGTCTGGCTCCCTCCAGTTCCTTCATTGCTATCCTCAGTTGCAGATGGAGCGAGTTCCTCTCCTCGGAGAATCTAGTCAGAGAAAAGAATTTTGATAGTTAGCATAGTGGTTTAGCCTGTTAGAATTAGTTCATAGTTAATAGTTAGATCATTCAAGTAGTTTCATTTTTTTCCTGTTTGCATTTACAAAAAGAAGAGAAACAACCGTTATTGTCGACCGCTGTGAAGGCCACAGCTTTAAAAAAAAAAAACCGACAAGAGACAAGAGAACAACTCCTCTAATTCAAATGAGAGGACAACAGTGAACCTCTCCAGACATCATGACAGTGTCACCCGGTCTTAAAAAGTGCGACACTTGTTGTGAGCCCATGCCTGCCTCAGACTGGCATTCCTCCTCAGGGAAGCACATATACCTCAAAAGTGCCCTCATTATTCAAAACTAATGGCTAGAGCACAGTGAGACAGAGGGATACAACTCCATATGCTCTTCCTTGATAAGGCGCTTCAACCATCAGAATGAGCATCTTCAGCTTCCTGTTCAGACCCTATCAGGGCCAAGAAACAAAGAGCCACTTCCCTGGGCCCAGGCTTCTCATCTAAGAAACATGCCTCGCCAGCATAGTCTCTACCACTTACTTCATCCAGCTGCATCAGCACCAGACATAAGCCGGGGACATCTTGCACCAGGTTCTCCCATTCTAAGAGTGCTATGGAACCAAAACCATTGCATGGAGCATCATCATCAGTGCTGACCACTGGCACTTCCACGTAGGCACTGGTACCAATGACACTATAGGAACTGGAGATGCAGCCTCCCACTCTGGCACCATCAGCACTGAGTAAGCCATCGCACTGTCCAAGGCCCGCACAAAAACAAACAGCGACAGATCAGTTTCCTGGTCCAGAACCGTTAACATGTTCTTCCGCACTGTCATCATCATCACTGACACCGCCTTCACCAGCACTGATGCACTTCGTTACTGGTCAGGATGGGCTTACTTGCAGGAGACAATATAGATCTCCCCTCATCCTTTGGCACCACACCATGTATCCTCCGGGGATGCACTACCTAGGCAAATGTCGCTATCTCGTCTTCCTTCCTCAAGGGGCTCAGTCAGATCCCTGAGGTCTCCGACACTATCAACACACACTGCCTTTCACAAGGATTGCAGGACTGTTCTGTCTTCTAACCATTCTTCCCCCACAAAGTCATACTATGAGCACCACAAGCGTAGACACTCTTACGATCATCCACCCCATTGGAAGACACAGTACCATTACTCATTGACCTGCTTCAGACATTGGTCACCATGTTGCTACCACTCTACTTCTAGACACCAACCTCTCCCCCGATCACCAATAAACAGGCCAATAAAAAGTAATTTGTTCCTGCCAAAGGCATGGATTTCCTATTTTCCCACTCCCAACCAAATTCTTTGATTGTGCACGTGGCTCGATAGAGGTCTAAATTACCACAGTACAAGAATGCTGCAGCAGACAAAGAAAGTAAGCTCATGGACCTCTTTGGTAGAAAAATGTATTTGTTGTCGACTTTATAGCTCTCCATCACAAATTACTCACCCTTCTTGGTGAACCATGATTTTGATAATTATTCCAAACTTACTGGCCTCATGGATCTCCTACCAGATGATAAAAGACCAATCCTAAAGATGATTGTCCAAGAGGGTTATAAAACTGCACCAACTGCCCTACAAATGGCTCTCAATGTAACCGACACAGCAGCATGCTCCATCACAACTTCAATAGTAATGTGTCAAGTGTCTTGGCTACAAGTGGCTGGCGTCCTGAGAGGGCTACAATCTAAAGTAGAGGACCTCCCATTCAACAAACAAAAATTGTTTGCAGAAAAGACTGATGAGGTTCTCCACACAAGTTAAGACTCCAGTACAACCTTACACACATTAGGCATGTATACGCCACCATGTCACCAGAAATGGTACACACCATACCAGTGGCACCGTGAGTTTTTATATTCTCAATATCAGCACAGGGGATTCGACTAATCCCATGCAAGACAGTGCCCTTAGAGTAGACGTCCGCAAAACAACTGCACTGCTAGTCAACAAACAGCAGATTTGAGGCATTGGTCTAGGGCATGCAAGGTCTCCCCCTTACCTGTTCATACCAGTACCAGATTTCCATTTTTCACTACCGCCTGAGACCATTCTATCACCTCTGTGCCCCCACCATTACATTGGACCTCTGGGTCCTCGAAGTTATGGCATCTGGTTACACCATTCAATTTACATTCCTCCCTCCAACCTTCCCACCATACCATCCCTTTTCAGGGACCCCTCTCATGAGGACCATTAAATAAAGAGGTCCATTGCCTCCTTTCCATCGGAGCAGTAGAGCGAGTACTGGACAAGTTCAGAGGCAAGGGCTTCTACTCTCACTATTTTCTCACACAGAAAAGGACAGGCAGTTGTAGGCCCATTCTTGACCTTCACAAACTCAACCAATACTTTAACAAACAGTGGTGCAAAATGATTACCCTAGCATTCCAGTACTGGTTCACAGCCCTCGACCTACAAGATGCCCATTTCCATGTCACCATCCATCCTGCTCCTATGATTCCTACAATTTATGGTGGCAGCAGAACACTTCCAATATCGTGTTTTACCCTTTGGCCTCTTGTCCACATCCAGGGTGTTTTAAAAGACACTCGCAGTGGTTGTGGCATACCTATGTCGACAGGGCATTATAATCTTCCCTTCTCTCAACGATTGTCTAATAAAGGGTCCTTCCCTCACAGAAGCATTCAAAATGACAAATACAACAAGAAAGATATTTGAATCCCTTGGGCTCATCATCAATGATCAGAAATCCATGCTTTAACCAGCACAGTTGCTGGTCTTTATAGGCTCCCAATTAGACTCTACTATGACACCGGCCTACTTACCGACACAAAGGTTCCAGGCGATACAAGATCTTATCGCAGTTGTCACCATGAGCCCTACGGTGCCAGTACTTACCTGCCTCCAACTCATGGGGTGCATGGCAGCAACAACATATGTAGTACATCATGCTCAACTACATTTTGGGTGCCTCCAACATTGACTGGCCTCTATACATGCCCTATCAAGGCACAGTGTCCACAAACATGTTTCCCTTCCATCCATCGTGGCCGCTTCCCTCAAATAGTGGGTTGAACCACACAATCTACTAGCGAGGGTCCCATTTCACCAAGATCAGCCCACCGTACAGATCATTACAGGCATCACCCTCCTGGGATGGGGTGCACACTTGGACGGTCAGCTTGATCAGGGCTGATGGTCTACCAAAAAAAGAGCACTCCATATAAAACTTTTGGAACCAAGAGCAGTTGCCAACATATGCAAGCACATTGCATGCACATTTACAACACACCTGTCAGGATACTTATGGACAATATGACAATAACATACAGGCAGTCCCCGGGTTACGTACAAGATAGGGACTGTAGGTTTGTTCTTAAGTTGAATTTGTATGTAAGTCGGAACTGGTACATATTTTTTTGTGGGGGGAGCTGGAGTTAGGTGGAAAAGACCCTGATTCTCATACTATTCTAAGAAAAACACATACTGTTTTGATATGATGGATTTTTGGTTGATATTTTAATTAAAAATTGATCATAAGTTTCAGTGTTTCATGCTATATCCAAATCTTCCTTTTGGGGTACCTGAAAGATCCCAGTTATTCATTTAATAGTCAGAATCTTTGTTTTTTATAACTAAAAAAAATTTATTCAATGCATATTACTGTTCCAAATAGAATTTGCTACAGATGGTTCAGTGAAATGGGTATTAAGTGTAATCAATAGTCATTGGAGAGCACAGTGAAATATTGATACAATCAAAGCTGTTGTTGTATTCTGCTGAGCAGAAAATGGAAATCCCTTCCTGTGAAGTGTGTGTGTGAATTTATCCACAGGATTAATTTTAAAGAAAAATTCTGTGTTGGGAACAGGAGTTTAGCCACAGGTGGGTCCTCATTGTCCACTCACCCACTTTGCAACCAGACCCATCCCCTCGGGGCTTACCCTGCTCCGCTCCAGCCAGGGTGTGGGATTGGGGCTTATCCCCTCTTCCTTTCTGTCCTGCTCCTCCCCATTCTTGCCCACCCACAACACTGGGTAATTTTTCAGCTTCACCTCTGCCAGGCTGGAAGGGACTTGTTAATTTCACGTGACGCTAACAAGATACTTGCAGCTCTAGTGCTGAAGAGGAAAAGAGCTGTTGCTCCCAAGGTGGGGACAGTAACACAATGGGTCTCACTGCCTGCTGCTCCTGATGTTCCCTAGGAAATTAATTTTTCCGCTCTGGAGTG